CCATAATTTAGCTTACCCATATTATATAAAAGTCAAATTCATGGTCATGAGTTAGAGAACTACCTTTCAAATCTTGATTCTCTATATATTTGTTCCCCTGCGTGAGGCGTTACTGAAGAAGAGCCAAGAATTTCCCTTTTTTCTTTATTCTTACGATCTTGCTGCCAAAATTCCTTTTTCAAACTCCCTTCAATCACGTCTCCTCTAATTGCCAGAGAAGGCTTGTGAAAGCTTCTTGAAAAGATGATCTTCATAGCTTTTTAAATCTTTAATTCTTCCCTTCTTTCTTCCTATTGTTCTTTTCTTTCTTCATAATTTTTTTCCGTCCTTTGTATGAATCTGCATTGAGTACTCCCCGTGTTCCTTTACTCGAAAGAGAGGCACCAGTCGCACATTAATTTTTTTGGTCTCCAAAAGTGGCTGGTTAAAACCTTTTTCCCGAATCTCTTTAACCTATTTCATTTCCTCTAATGCTATTTACGTTTCTGATGGGCTAAGACCCACTTGTACTTTTATTTTTATTTTTTAATTTGCTTTTATAGTAATTAGGTAAATGTTCTTATTTTAATAAGGGGTATTACATCCTCCCTTCCTTATGAAATTCGGTCCCCGAATTTAAATCAAGTGCATACATGGCGTAGCTTTTTTCGAGTTCCCAAGTAATCTCTTCAAGACTTTCACGAATACAATTTCTTTTTACCATAACTTTCTTACATGCTTATAGATAATAATCATTGGCTCCTCCTTATATTATAACTTTTTGTCAAGCAATATAGTCGGTGTATCATGTGCTTAAGAGGAATCTCATATATATTTCTTAACATAGAGAAATAAAATGTTGGACGAATAAAAGACAATTAAGGAGAAAGTGCCAAACGATACTCCATAGCTCCCACTTGGACAAGTATCTCGTATAATCTTATAAATCCTGGATTCGTCTACCCTCTTTTTTTGATTTGCACCACCCTTTTCATAGGGAAGACTCGTAGGATCAATGGGACTCTAAATATAAACTCTAAGTTTATTTTTCTCTTATCTGCTCAAGAATTTACTTTACTTTGTGATGTGAGCAATCTTTGTCTTAATCAATTGAACTTATCAATCCTTTCATATACCTTCTAGTCCTAATACATTTTTTCTATAAATATACCTTAGAGTCACCAACTTAAACTAATCCAATAAGAGAATACCGCCTTATGTACAAGGTTTTATATGGATCCCTTTGCATGCTTCACTACAAGCTCTTGTTATAAATAAACTCAGGTAAAAAGGTAGATAAGCATCGCAACTATCCCAAAAATGAAGAATGCAAGCTATCAAAGTATTCCCCAAGATCTGTATACAACAAGAACAACAACCCATTATAATCCCACTAGTGGGGTCTGAGGAGGGTAGAGTGTACGCAGACCTTACCACTACCCTGGGGTAGAGAGGCTGTTTCCAATAGATCCTCAGCATCCTTCCCTCCAAGAACTCCCACCTTGCTCGTGAGGTGACCGAACTCACAACCTCTTGGTTAGAAGTGGATGGTGCTTACCATAAGAGCAACCCACCTTGTCGTCCCAAAATCTATATAGTACGCCCAAATTACCGTCTGCCAGCGGATATAGTGCATTATAAGGATCCCCTCGTGTACCTGATGCTTCTTGAAAAGATTTTCAAAAGCATAAAGTAAATTGCGATTTTCTATCAGAAATACTGGACAATATAACCCCATGGAGTCGGACAATTTTTATTGATGTATATCTTATTGTAATAAAGGTTTGACTAGCAAGAAGTGTGCCTACGATGTAACCAATTTACACTTTTCCAAGTATAGTTATAACCTTTAATTGTTTGAGGTAGTTCTGTCATAAAATTCACTATAATTCTATTACATTTCTACTTTGGATCTCGATTTGTTATAGCGGCCCTCCAAGTCGCAAATGTTGGCCTTGACATTCTAAAAAGTCAAATAGTCAAAAACAAGTTAAAGATTTTTTTTTCTTTTCTCACAATTATAATTTTCTTCTGGTCATGGTACATCTTATTGGATCCCGAATGTACAGTGTATCTAGAGTTATGAACTCCTCAAGAATAACTCTTATTAACCCATCTATATTTGGTACACATAGCCGGTTACCTAGTCGATGAATACATTGAATATGTATAGTTATATCCTTATTATTGTTGTTTTTAACTAGCTTGATGCCATCTCAATATTTACATAATCGCTCATCTTCATATTTAGTGGACTTAATATTCTATACTAGTGAAGACTTAGCTTTAATACAAGTCAACAATATCTCTAAATTCTCCATTACTAAATTAAATACATGTACACTTGAGTCTCTACATATTTTTTGCCAAATGTCTTTCTAGCAGAATTAGTGTGCCAAATTGCCCATATTTTTTTTTTGGTTCAATGAATCATCCACAACATTAGGCTTTCTATGATGATACCAAATGGAAAAAAGGGAAAAAACATAATCATTGAGCAATTCCATCCACCGGGATGCCGAAAATTGAGATCTGCTGAAAAATATACTTCAAGCTCTTGTGGTCAGTATAAATATCATATGTTTCCAGTATTAGTAATGCCTAACACCTTTAATGCCAAAATCAATGCAACCAACTCCAAATCATGAGTAAGATAGTTTTTCTGTGCTTCTTCAATTATCTTAAAGTATAAGCTATAACACGATCATTTTCATGAGAATACGTTCTAATCCCACTCTTGAAGCAACATAAGATGTCGTGAGTCCTCCAGAACTTGATGGTAAGTCTAATACTGATATGGTTGTCAAATATGTTTTGAGTTTATGAAAGCTCTTGTCACATTCCTCTATCCACTAGTACTTTGTATTTTCCTACGTTAACTTGGTTAGTGGTGTCACAGTTATTTTGGAATAATCCTGCATAACTACCTGTACTAGCCTGTCAAGCCTAAGAATCTTCGAATATTTGTAGGAGTAGTGGGTCTTGTCTATTTCTAAACTGCTTCTATCTTTTTAGGATCCACCACAATCTCATTTTTAGACACAATATTCCCGAAGAATGCCACTAAGTCTAGCGAAACCTCACACTTAAGAACTTGGCATAAAGATGATTCTTATCTAACAAGTCTTGTAATTGTTGCTTTAACTATGATGGTGTCATACTATATGGTGGTATCAATATTAGTTGCGTGTTAGGTTGTAAATCATTATCAAAGTCTATTTCATGTACTGGAGGTAGTCCTGGATCACAAATATATTAGAAAATTACCTCAATGTTGGACACTTTTTTTTTCAAAACTAAGTATTTCTTCTCCGGTGCCCCTTAACATAGCTATGAGACTTAAACAACTTTTCTTCCGTAATCATTGACCTTTCATAAAAGAGATAACTTTATCAATTTCTAGAACTTTGACCCCTCTTTAAAGATAAGACTGGGTTCAGTAGGAAGATAATATATTTCTACCCATCAATATGTCAAATAGACCGCATCAAGTACAATCGGGTAAACTAGGTCCCAACTCATATCTGAAAAGCTGTATACACATGTTCAATACAGTTCTCTCACATATTTGGCGTACAGAAGCTGACGCTTAAGATCTCAAGTTGTTCTTAATTTCCATCTCCTTGACCTATATTCATATCCCTACTGAAAGGTTTCAAGTCATGTCTTTCTTTCATAAAATTCTTATTTGCATGCCTATCATGCCCATATTTTAATTTCTATATTTAATATTTTTCTTTTTTTTTGTCCAAGTTCAACTGCCACAGAATATATTAGATTCATCAAGTTTGGGGTTAACTTCTTGTTTAGAAGGTTAGCAATTCTTCACCAACATCTAAACTTGAGATGTTGCATGTCAAGCTGAGAATGACTTATGTTGGTACATCATCGTCTAAATTAATTACTTAAACTATCTAGCAAGCAAGCTCACATTACAAACTGTCAAGAAGGAATTAATTCATAAATACTTTAGTGAAATCGTCACTAAATTATTTGTTCCGCTTTAGTTGGCATCCCAAATAATATGGTATCATTTCATGTATTCACCATATTCTATAGTCTATAAGTTGCTTGTTTCATAGACCTCTCCATAAAATATCCTATAGCTCGTAATGTGGTTAGTATATTACCAAAAACATTTGAGGATCCTCTCAATTCAACCTTGGGTAGTTTATTAAGGATACTTCTCTGTTCCCTACAATCTTCTAGGTGCAGGAGGACTTTGGAGCCCTTTTCTGTTGACTATGCTTCTACATTAAGGTATGACCGTCTCCTTTCTCTTTCAATTACATTCTACACTGACCTGAGTGCAGGTATCCGATCGAAACGGCCAAAGCACTCTCCAACTCAAACGCCTTAGGTTTCAAAAGCATGCGTTGCACTCTTTTCCTTCGACCGGATTTTTATCCCAAAAAGGGTTTTACCGGCAAGGTTTTTAACGAGGCAACATCCATATGCTACCTAAGGAAGAATCAAAAAGTATTCAAGGCTTCTTTTTCAATCAACCTCGAATACTGGGGGCCTTCCCCCTGGAAGGTCACCTACTCGGAAAAGCCTAGACGCGCTAAGTGGGGTCTTGATAGGAAAATAATGTACTGGGCCAAACGATCAAACGAACTGTGTCCGCATAGAAAAAACAAGCCCTTAACAGCAAAGGCATGTATACTTGTACCAAGTAATCACAGAATACTTCCCAAAAGCATTTTGCGTTTCAAGGAAGCTCGACAATTTTTGCAAAAAATGGCCCAGAGCCAAAAAAATGTCCCGAATAGTCGGGGACTGGCATCAATAACTCGAAATAGTACAACCCCCGGGTTGGAGCTTCAAACTCATAAGCCCTCACTAAGGCAACAACGAGATCACAAAATAACTCCAGAGCCAAAAACATCCTGAACACTCAGGGACTAGCATCGAAAACTCAAGGCCACATGACTTCCGGGTCAGAAACTCCGAAATCATAAGCCCTCGGTGAGGCAATACCAAGTTTACAAGTAATGGCTCCCGATCCAGGAAATCCCCAATGACTCGGGGACTGTTGTCAATTGCCATCTACATCGATTTATCAAAACCCGAGGCCATAAGACCACATGCGGGCAACCTTAGTCTCATAAGACCTATATAATGCAACAACAATATCTGTAAGACCTCAAGCAAGACATGAACCACACTTGTACCAAGTGACAATATCTGTAAGACCTCAAGCAAGGCATAAACCATACTTGTACCAAATATCCAAAACTGTAATACCTCAAGGGCATGTAAAACTTGTAAGACCTTACTAAAGGCATAAACCATATCTCAAAGTTAAGGCTATATATCAAACTTTTAAGACCCCTAAAAGGGAATACCCTCGATATAGATGCCGAAACCACTTCACTCAGGACTAAAATGCTCCGGCAAAAAAATAAATGACTACAGTCATAAGGCTATACCAGCAAAACTAACACGACTCGGGGATGCCCGACCGTCTGAATCTGGACCAATGCCTCTTGAAAGCCCGGAATAACAATAGGCACAGGGGGTGCCTGGGTTGGTCCCGCCGGAATATCTACCTCCGGGACCAAATCCTGGGTGGGACAACTGGGGGAACTGCAGGTGCTGCCCAAGCTGCTACGCCGGCGATTTCTCCGCCCCTACCACGACCTCTATAGTGGCCTCAACCTCTCGCGGCTCGAGCTGATGATTGTCCCTCCTGACCGGTAGCACGAGTCCTCAACATCTGTGAGAAAATGAAATAACAGATGTTCAGTTAATAGAATACACAGAACGTAGGATAAGAATCCAAGAATGTAAAATTTTCTATAGGTTCTGCAGCCTCTCGAAGATAAGTACAGACGTCTCCGTACCGATCCGCAAGACTCTACTAAACCCGCTGATAACTCGTGAGACCTATGTAATCTAGGCTCTAATACCACTTTGTCACGATCCAAAATCTAACCATGATCGTGATGGCGCCTATCGTGTTACAAGGCAAGCCTATTCCCAAAATATTACTACTAATTAATTTTAAGGATTTAATAAAACAATACCAACATTTAAATTTTGCATAAACTAAATCAACTCTAAATGTAATTAATATAAAAATATGGAAGCTAGACCCAAACATCGGGGTGTCACTAAGTCATGAGCGTCTAAAACTATAAACTAAGATATATAAACTGTCTAACTGTCCAAAAGAAGAAATGGCAAGAGGAGTAACAAGGTCCTGTGGACGCTGGTAGTTACCTTGCAATCTCCACAGATAGCTGGCCTGAAATCAACGATCGTCGTGATCTAACTCACCAGGATCTGCACATAAAGTGCAGGGTGTAGTATGAGTACAACCAACTCAATAGTAACAGAAATAACTAAGGAGCTGAGCAGTAGTGGAAAGCTAAGTAAAACAGTCCAATTATTTATTTCCACAATTTAAAAATAAAGGAATGAACAGGTAAATTTCATAACTCAGTAAATGCCAAAAAGAAAATTAACAGATAAATGCAGCAATAGCAAAAGTAAATGCAACCTCACAGCAATGTCACTCTATCACTCAGCACTCAACACTCAGCACTCGGCACTCAACACTCAGCACTCAACACTCAATACACTCAACACTCTGCGCTCACTAGGGGTGAATACACTCAACACTCTGCGCTCACTAGGGGTGTGTACAGACTCTGGAGGGGCTCTCAAAGCCCAAACGCTAAGCACAGACAACTCACATGCCATCATATAAATACCTGGATCCGCACGATCAACTCACATGCTACGCGGACAACTCATTCACTATGGTATCAATACCTAGACCCGCACAGTCAACTCATGTGCTACACGGACAACTTACGCGCTATGGTATTAATATCCTCACAACCAGGCCCTCGACCTCACTCAATCATGTACCTCACTAGCCTCACCATCATCAACAAATAAGGGGACACAACCCACATCAAGTATCACAGCATATTATCAAATAATAGAGACTGAGATAAACATGTACAATAATTTCTATGACTGAGTACAAATAATGTGATCATGAAGCCTAAACATGATCTCTAACATGAAGACAGACAAGTTCAACAACAAATAACTACGTAAACACACATAATGGTCATGAGGCCTCACGAGACGGACCAAGTCTCCATCCTTGGAGATATACACCCACACGCCCGTCACCTAGCATGGGTATCACCTCCAAATAGTCACATGATATTAAATTCTCCGGTTTATACCCTCAAAGCCAGAGTTAAACCTATTACTTACCTTAACAACGTAAAATTCCACTCCGGGATGTCCTCGTCCCTCGACTCGGTCTCCAAAGGCTCTGAATCTATCCAAAATATTGAATAACACGTTCTAATTAATCTAGGCGAATAATTTCATAATCTTAGGACAGGTCAAAATCAAAATCAAGCTAGATCCAATTAATAAAAACTAGTACACCAAATTCTCAACCAAAATAGCCAAAATATTAGCTTCTGAAATAACTCTACAATTCCATAATACTATTTCTTATGCTGGGAATCCACCACTATCTTAATATACAACTTCACATGTCATTATCATTACACATTCATGTGCCTTCTTCACTATTAACCACTTAGTAGATAATCATTTTATATTTTACATATAGAAATCCCTTTCCAATATATTTCCATTTTATATACACTGCATCAACATTAGTTTTTCATGGCAAGATTTTACTTCCACCAACTATTAGCTTATTATTACTATTAATCATGACATCATGATTCATATATTTTTATTATTAAATATGGTAGTAAGGATTTCAAGTAGCAGTAGTTTCATATTGTTTTGCAGAATTTCGTAAAGGCATTGACGGAACGGGGTCGGCGTCCAGTTTTCAATCCTAATTCATCTTTACAATTACCAATCCTTATATAATCACTACCATCCTATTATTATATAGTAATTATTATGCCTATTATTCATGGCATAAGTATAAATTCATATCTCCTATACCACCATAATTATCAATTTACCAAAATTAATTGAACAAAAATACACTGAAATCTTGTAATACCTGAGCAAACCAACGTCCCTAGTTCGCATAGTTTTTCTCCCGATGCTAAAGCGTCTTAGTCCTTTTTCTCAAAAGTGTTGCCGTCAAATCTCCAAGACTAAAACCTGCTATTTATCTAAATTTGTTTCTAAAGTTAATACCCTAACAGTTCATCTATTCCCACTTTGGAGAGACTTTGGACATGAAGTCCTTAAAAGGTGGCTTGGTCCACTTGCCTCCTATTTTATTATTAGCACAACCAACCTAAGTCAAGTAAATAAGTAAATCAAAATATTATCCCCTAGCCACATATTTACTATACTATTTTATATATCATCATAACCAATTCCCTCTCACTTTCTTAATATTCGATCCAATAGCTACAAACTAATTTAATTCTCCTCTAAAAGTTAATAAGTATATCAAAAAAATATTTCGGATTATTACAAAAAAAGGGATGAAATATATTGCTCATGCATTGAGTTATTTAGCAGCTGCCGTGAACATCCCCCTTATCTTAGCTCAAGGATTGAAAATGTTCAGCTTAGCTTCCCCATCTCTGTAACGACCCGACCGATCGTTTTGAGAATTTGCATTTCGCTCGGTTGTTTGAGGGCATGAGTAGCTCCGTTTGATGTATTATGACTTATGTGAGTTGCCAGTTTTAGTTTCCAGGTTATTCGAAATTGATTTGGAAGAATGATTCTCAGCTTGAAGCTTTAAATTCGAAAGGTTTGATCAAGTTTTGACTTTTTAGTATTTGACCTCAGATTGGATTTCTGATGGTTCTGTTAGCTCAGTTGGGTGATTTGGACTTAGGAACACGTCCGGATCGTGATTTGGAGGTCCGTAGTAGAATTTGGATTGAATTGGCGAAAGTTGGAATTTTGAAAAGTTTGATCGGGAGTGGACTTTTTGATATCGGGATCGGATTCCAATTCAGATTCCAAAAGTTGGAGCACGTCCGTAATGTCAAATATGACTTGTGTGCAAAATTTGAGGTCAATCGGACGTGATTTGATAGGTTTCGGCATGGGTTGTGGAAGTTGAAATTTCAAAGTTTAATGATTTCGAATTGAGGTATGATTCATCATTTAGATGTTGTTATGTGTGTTTTGAGGCCTCGATTAGGTCGTTGCTATGTTATGAGACTTGTTGATATGTTGGAAGGGGCCCGAGGGGGGCTAGGGTGAGCTTCGGATGAGGTTCGGATCATTTCATTTCATGTTGCATAGATGGTTCTAGTGTGATCGCACCTGCGATTGGTATGCGCAGGTGTAGTGGTCGCAGAAGCGATGAAGTGGTCGCAGGAGCGGAAATAGTTCTAGGTGAGGAAGACCGCAAAAGCGGAGATTTGAGCGCATATGCAGATGCGTAGGTGCAAAGTGATGGAGTGCATAAGCGAGATCTTTCGCAGGTGCGGATGGTTTCTCGCACCTGCGATGTCGCAGAAGCGGGTATGTTGACCTCATGTGCGAGGATTGAGCTATTATTTGATTCTGCAGAAGCGGAGGTTATGTCGCAGAAGTGACACCGCAAATGCAGTTATGTGTCCGCGGATGTGGAAGTGCTGGACAGAATGTTAAATACAAGGGTTCGCTATTTTGGCTTCATTTTTGAATTTTCAAGTGCGGAATAGGGCGATTTTGGAACAATTTTCATCACAAGGATTGGGGTATGTGTTCTACACTCGGTCTTGGTTATATTTCATGAATCTATCTTCGATTTTAGATTTTGGTTGGTGAATTGAAATAGGAAATTGGCGGTTTTGGCCTAAAGTTTCATAACATGAAATTTTGAGTTTTGAACACCGATTTGGGGTCAGATTTGAGTGAAACTAGTATGGTTGGACTCGTATTGAATGGATTGTCGAATTTTGTATGTTTTGTCGAGTTTCGAGGCGTGGGCCGGGGTGTGGTTTTTGGCCAGAATTGTGATTTGAAGTAGAATTCGATCTTTATCAATTTTAATTGCTTCCTTTGGCTTTATCTGATGTATTTGAGTTACTTTTGGCTAGTTTTGAGCCGTTCAGAGGTCGCTACGCATGTGATGACATTTTTGGAGCATCGCTTGGCTTGCTCAGTGTCGGAATTAGCTTATTTCAGATAAGTAACTCTTTTAAACTTAGTATTGAGGGTATAAAACCCGAACTTATGTGCTATGTGATTGGTGTTGAGGTGACGCACATGCTTGGTGACGGGCACGTGTGCGTGCACCCGGTGAATTGTGATCCTGTTGTCTTCATGGCATTGTAAAATGGCCCTACTTTGTTGATATCTATGTTTTATCCATGTGATTAAGTAATTGAGCTGTACATCATGCTAGATACTCTGTTTAGGCTTTATGCTGATAATGTTGGGACCCATAGTGGTCGTTTCTTGCTGCCAGATTGACTTCATTGATATTCATGTTGTTTAATTGAGGAGTGAAGTAGATTTTCATGACCTGATATGAGTTCAGACTCAGGAGTATTCAGCGACTGCATAATAGTTATGACTGTGGAAGGGTATAAAGTGATGTTAGTTTGAGGTGAAGCAGGTGGGTTATCTCCTGTGGGGTGTCTTGAGGTTTGGTTGAACCCTATGTTGTTTGTGGTGAGTTCTCTTTTACCAGTGAATTATACGTAGTGCAATTTAAGCCTGTAATCACTTATAAGAGTTGGCCGGACTGTTACAAGGGTGAACGCAAGATTTGCAGATGATTTGAGATATTAGATGGTTTGTGTTGCGTGAACTTACCAAGGATTCAGTTGAATTTTAGTGTGGGATTTTGGCAGCAACAGAGTATGGGTATTGTCAGTTATTAGATGCTTTATTCCTTGGCTTTGAGCCAAGTGAGGGAGTCTGCTATCAGCGGGTTAATTGCATAGTGATATGTTGTATTGTTTTCAGTTTGAGGTGTACTTGTGAATCAGTTGTGACTTGTAGAGGTTGAGATCGAGGATGACTCGAGTAAAGGAATTTCTGGATAAGGGTTGTATTATGCTCTATGGGTATGTGGAAATCATGGGATGATTGAGTGGTTATTCATGAAGGATGTGGTGTTCATGGAGTAGAAACTTGCTCGATTGCTTAGAAGTGTGAATTTCTTCCTCGGGTCTTGAAGTGCTAATGGGGCACAGGTCCTTCGATCCGTTTGATCAGTCTAATTGGGATTTTGAACAGAGTGGATGGCTCTCGAGAATTGTTCTAATGAATTTAAGATTTATATGTGGCAATTGGGAATCTTCAGGATGTGTATTTGGCTAGGAACTGAGATTTATTATTGGGGGGTGTCAAGACCTGTGGCATTTCTATATCATTATGGATTCTACATATCAGTATCAGGGAGGTGAAGGTAATAGCTTTAGATTCACAGAAGGTCTCTTCAAAGTGGGTATCTTGGTTATGGTTTATTTTGGGGTGCTTAAGAGAGTATTCAACGGCTTATGAGCCTTAGGGCGACGTGGTTTTATGCTTGGGCCTCAAAAGGTGAGTCTGGGTTGAGTATTGTGGCATTATGCCGAGGAGAAGTATTAATTTGAAGGTAATTCAGAAGGAACTCGGATAAATAGGACAGCTTGGTAGTAGTTTAGATCGGCATGGTAATGGATATGATTGGGTCGTTGGGTGCTTATGATGTAATGAGTTTCTACAGGTGTTTCATGGCAATGCTCTTGGGTTTTGGTGCCTGCGTGTGATAGCTCCACAGACAAGGACAAAGCTTTAGAAGCACCAAGAAAGCTATTTACAAGGTCTCAAGCTAAGGAGAATCAAGACAAGGTTGTTGGGCTTCAATGGGAGATCAAGAAGGCGCTACTGGTGGAAGAAGAGCTCAAGAATTATGGAGAGGATTTAGCTAAGTGCTACACTCATTTCATGGTCCAAGTCCAAGTCCAAGAGGAGGTAGATTGGGGTCCAAGTACTAGTCAAGGAGGGCCTAAATTAAGCGCCTAAATCAACTCACAAAGGAGCCAACTTGGCGCCCAAGTCAGCTCAGGGAGGGGAAGCCAAAACATAGGAGAAGGTGTCAAAGTTCCTTATTTTGTTTCCTAGTTTGTTAGGACATATTTGATGTTTTCCTAGGTAGTTAAGGTTTTGTTTTTCTTTTCCTAAGATTATTGGAATTACTTTCTAAGATTGACTTGGCTTTCATTTCCTATAGTTTACCTTTCCCTATGGTAGTTAGACTTGTTGTCCAAAGTAGTTTAGGACTTTATTTCCTTATTTTTTTAGGTAGAATTTCGTGACCCCTTCCCTATATAATGGAGTATCTTCTTTGCTTTTAGATTCAGATTATTATCAATAAAAATTGTGAGATTTTTCTTCCA